TAATTCCTTTAATAATAAGATTTTATAAGCAAATTCTTTCCCATAAAAATTGATTCATCATTACTTGTTTTCTTACGTTAAGAGCCAGTAAAACAGAGACAAAACCTTTATACACACATACCATTAGTTAAGTGGCTCCAGATTTATTCCCAGCCCGCCTCAGTAGACAGACAATCTCGTAATTTCATTAATCAATCATTTACAAACATTGAACTCGATCTGTACATACGTATAATATAAATACTTAGTTAATATTAGTTATATGAAAGAGTGCACAATAAAAAGAAGTGAGCGAGGCTACAGAGTCGCTAGTTCATTATCCAAATGGACTACAGCTATTTGATCCACTTATGTGATTGCCTGCAAGCATTATCTCTCCCTCACTGAATGGAAGCCATAAGTCTACCTCGTAACTCTCTCACTGCTCCTTACAATATTTCTACGTACTTACGTTGGCAATAAATATGTATGCACATAAATTAACTATTGAACTAACAGTTTACTATATAACTGTAGTAAATATAGTTATTTATCTGATACTATTATTCGATTAATTAGTTTTACACGGACCTAATTAATTAGGTAAAGACCATAAAAAATGCGGATTTGAGGGGAAGTGTGTTTCGGTTGAAAGTAAACAGTTTGGTTTAATTGCCTCAGTTTTTTTTATCTTATATCGACTGAATGTTGTAGTGATAAATTAATATTACCTGTAAATAAAGGAATTTACAAGGACAAGAGCTGTGTAACATCTTGAATGAAAAATGCCATTTTTGAAGGGGGAAAATCATTCCATGCTATCTCCCGCATTTCGTTTGGCGAGAGGGAGTGCCAGACTCTTACTGAATAAAAAATACCCCGTTCCTGCTCATGCTCTTCGAGCCGGAGCCCCGGCAATCCGTTAGGTCTTCCGTGGCTCCGTACCGGGCCCCATCTGTATTGAGTATGAATAGAAATAGTATAAAAAAAAAACAATGTGAAATCATATTCATAATTCTCAATTGGTAGGTATATTCTTTGCCTTCACAAACATATAGACAACTTAAGACAACTAGCTGAATCAATGCCAATAAATAGGTAGGTACTAAAATTCTACCCAAATAAAACAGTAGCGCAGAAACATAAAAATATCTTAAAATATCTATACATTTAATGGGAGCACAATTTCATAATAACTGCTGACTGTATCTAATGAATGGCTTTTATACTCATCGTATAGATAAAACAGATAAATACCGTACATTTACATTCATTGCTTAGAGTGAATCAAAAGAGTTGGAGTGCTCTGAAGAAATCAGCAGATACAAGATAATGGACCGATCCAATCACTTAGCGGGGTGGACCTCTCTTACTTATACACTACCTACTAGCAGCCACCAGCCACCAGCTACACTCATGTATAAATTTACAAGGCTCTATATAATTTCTGCAGGATGGCCTTTGTTTATCGTTGACGTGCAATACCACACGGGATCTTGGATCTTGATTCGGTTACAAGCTTGATTAATTCGCTTGTTTGTGTAACAATGGGTAACCAATTAATGTTTTGACGACACTTCCTATTACTTTGACAAACACCGGTGAGGGTGTTTATGTCAAATTTCTGACTTATCCACTTTTGTGGGTTGGATGCCTTGCGTGTGAAAACCAAAACTGAGATTCCTTAACGTCCGTCACTTCGTAGGCGATATTCTTACGAGAATTTCAAATTTTGTGGTTTCAATTAAAATTCATCTTAATAGAAAGAAATACTACGACTATGGTCTATTTCTTCTGCCAATAATTACAGAACACAATAATTTGAATTTACTCAAAGACATTCCTATGTAACGATTTTATACTTTGGTGGGAGGTTGGCGTTGACTCGTTAGGTACACATTTTATTATTAAAAATGTTCTTAAACGGGACTAAGATAACGTGTATCTCCTCCCCTCAAGGGTTTTTTCAGCACGACGCCGCAGAGGCTCGCTCTATTTCCTACAATTATTCGTCGGAAATGAGATTTCGGATTAGACCGCCGTCTGATGAAGACGTCTACAAGACGGACCGAGACGAAAAAACAATTAAATGTAGACAGATTTATGTCTTCTATCAATTGCATCTGTTAATTGTAATCAGATAATGTAGCCTACAAATATTTGATCTCACGTTCTATGCGCTATTAATATTACAAATCTTAAACAAAGAATGACAAGGACCTATTTACAGGATCAAGGATCTGATCAACTGTCGAGAAGAAGTCCAGAGTAGTACTTACTTGATCATTATTTTCTTATTTTTCTTTTGGTACCTAATACATATAATAGAGTGGAGCATTTTAATAAAATAAAAGATTAGTGTAAGTCAAAAGCTGTTACATTACTTGGCAGTCCTTTACCGTATACTATACACAACTCCGTTAATTAAAAGTTAACAAAGCCGGCGTCTAATTGGATGGTTTATCTATACCTACATATAAGTCACAGTACGTATGTAGAGGTACACACTCACAGAGTTAATAATAATTACATTATTGTTTGCTTCAGATGTTACTTCGTTCGCTGAACAAATCGCGAGTTTAAGAATTCCGGTACAATAAATACAAGTTAGTCCACATATTACCAGAACGTAAATCATAAATCTCCAGAGCAGCATTCAACCAAAAAGCTACAAGCAAATGACCCGTTGAAATTTTTCTAAATTGCATACAAAGTGTCTCTTACAGACTTGTGGGTTCTGACGGCTATTACTTACAACGCAATATCAAATTGCTTTCAATTTATTTCGCAATTGCCGTCTTTGAGTTTCGCTTTGTAGGGGCCTCTGACGTCGGTCCGAGGCAACAATAAAATGTATTCGTCTCCGGAATGTTTAATATGGGGAAAAGTTTAATAACGCGTCCGGGCGGGCGGCGAGCGGCCCTGCAGCGGCCGGCCGGGCCGGGTGGTCAGCGCGCCTCACCAACCGACTACGATAAATCAAATCTTTTACCTTCTACGTCGCTAAGAAAAATCCCTATTACATTCACAAACATTTCTTCGACTACACGATAAAAAATTACCGTCCAATTATATTCGTGGCTAAGTACCTGACTATTAATTTCGCTTCGTAGCAATGAGGTACATACGGTAGGTTAAGTAGTAAGGTACCTACTTCTTTTTGTAACGAACTTAATAAACGTGATTTAAAATTTCAAATAAACACGATATTCAAGTAATGGGTAAATATGTAACTCGAGCTTCTTGTCTAGCAACTTAACCTTTTCGTATTATTTACGGTGGGTAAATATTTAATTATAAATAATTAACTAACTGGCATTAGTTAGGTGCAAGTGCGCGTTTTGGGGAAGAACCACATTCAATCTCTGGTAAAAAACCCAGCAATCTTAGGTAGACAGTAGGGATTATTGCAATATTTTAACTTAATTTAAATAGGTAGATATGTTTTTCCCTACGGTCATACAATGTAAGCTAATGATTTAAAAAGTCTCCATTATACCTCCTTGACTAAACTTCTTATATGGTGCCATTTTAATAGCTAATGACATTACTTCATAAAAATCCCGCATCCATTGTTCGTTCAACTCACTAAGGCAATGTGGCATTCTAAAAAACTGTTGTAATTGGAAACATTGTGACTGCAGCTCATCAAGACATAGCAACGAAGCTCGGCTCTGGTGTCTGCGCCGCCGCCGACACAATAGCTCCCTGACGTTAATTAAATGTTAACAAACGCCCTCGTCGTCTAATTGGAACTGTTGCCTATTATCCTTACCTTTCGACGCGGAGAATAACTCCCAACCTCGTGAATTGTACTTGAGACTTTTTACTCGGCTTTCTTCAAATTGACTGACTCATTGCTTTTGTTTTCAAAGATAAGTAGGCATCCACTCATTCAAATAGGTACCTACAAAGGTTTTTTGCTGGGTATGTACGCTACAATGAGATTATATAATAAGTACCGATACCTAGTAAAATATTATTACTTAGGTATCAACTACTTCAGCTAATCTAGATGTAAGTAACTGATCACTCTCATTGTGAATACCTAAGTTATAGGTAAGTAAATCACAATTTCTCATCAAAATATCTGGAAATTGGAACATATTCGGGAATCAGGAACCTAAGTACCTAACTGAATAAATTATTTAGGTCTTTATTATTTTTCCGTTTTCATTTGTGACATACGGTGAAAAGTAAAATAAGGTATTGAATAAAAAGCATCCTATGTCCGTCGTCCGTCTAGTTCAAAGCTACCTCTCCAACAATTTTGCCGATTTAGCCGTTCTTCATTTATAATAGTGTAACTAACACGACTTTGCATTATAAATATAGATTAATAGATTGGCAGGAGAAGGTAGGTATTTATTTTGCAGTGGACTTTTTCTAGCGCATAATGAAGATGAGATAATGTGTAGACAAACCGGTGTCTTGTATGAATATTATGTACATTTAATGTTGAAAAGAGTTTTGATATACGTAATATTGAAATTGTAATGTAACCCAGCAATCGATCATTAAGGCAACTTATGAATCGAACCTCCACTCGAATCAAACATTAGGTCTATAAGATAATGTTCAACCCTTCTCCATGGGAGAAGCAGGGTTTGGTCAGTAGTAGCCACTTATACTTATACTAATAGGCTGTTGAAGGTGTTTAATAATCAACACCAAGACATTGTCCTAAACCTGGTTATTACTGGGGTAAATTCATCAATAAAGTATCAATAATGATAAATGTCTGATTAGAGGACGCCAAACACATTGACAACGCAAGTCGTTTTATGACGATTTTCTGTACCTGGCTTTAGTTTTAAATTTTATAACAAACAACTTCCATTCTTGTTGATTCTCTAAATCCAGCAAAAGAATACTACAGTTGATTGCAAAAAGTTTTTATAATAAAATGTATTAAAACTATTTCGGTCGCTGAAGTTATTTTGTGACTGGCAACATTATAAAAAACTTACGTCAAATACGTCAATGTCAATCTATGTCAACTGTCATTATGGTCACAAAGTTTTGTTTTGAATTTGAAACGTAACCTCAAAAAAAGCAAAATATTTTAAATGTAAAATAGTCCTAAAAATTGAGAAAACGTCATTTATATACAGATAGTTTCAGTGAAACATTACAATGACTCATACGGCAGGTAGACCCGGAGGAGAGTCGGATTCGGACCCCGATGACTATTATGGCTATTTCGATGAGCCGGTTAGTTGAGTCTGTATTTATTTGGAAATGTGTTCTTCCTTTTATGTCCTATTTACCAACGAAATGAGCTCATGAAGGAAAATCAATAATTGGTCTCATTGAAAATGTACCCATTATAGTATAAATATCTAGGTCAATCTGAGATTTATTTCCAGCATCAGGGTAACAAGGCGCCCTACATGTCAACCTACACCTTTGTTCAGAATTAACACAAATGATTAATCATACTATCCTGTCAAATATTAAATTTAAATGTGTCTTGATAGTGTAGATAACATTGGTATAATTTTTTTGAAGCCTTAAGCTGATATTTTTATATTAAATTTTTAAGGTAATATTAAGTTGTAAATAATTTAGTTTTTAGTTATTTGTAATTATAATATTAATATTAATTTAAATTTAATCTAATAGAAATATATTAAATAAAAGATAAGTTAAAGTATATTGAAAATACAAAAATTGAAATAAAACTATTTACAAAAATTTATTGTTTACAGCCAAGGAATTACTTCCAGTACCAACAACAAAATGACAAGAAAAAGCTTGAAATGGACTTGCAGGATTCCATCATTAATGGAAGTTTGGCAGAAGTGCAAGAAATTGTTGCTACCAGTAAGATTACCTATAATTAAGACCTTAATTGTAAATGTAATATATATATGTAATAGCAATTTATACTGCATCTTTCTTATATATATTTTTAACATATTAAGATGATATATTGCTTCTCAACATCAATAATAGAGAAAAGCAACTTGATTTGCTACTGGCCATCTTGGTAGATGATGAAATTGTTATTTACAGGCTTCCATCTTCTGTAACTTCTATCTTCTAGGATTTCTTTGATTTTCAGCTACATTACACACTTAATTGTTTATTTATTAAATGTATTAATGTTGTGGTTACAGGATTAAACAACAATGTCAACACTCGGCTGGACAGTGGCTGGAACGCTCTCATGCATGCATGTTTCCATGCACAAGATGCTATTGTTAAATATTTATTGGACGAAGGAGCTGACCCCAATTTTCGCGCAGGTAAACCAATATCTGTAATATAAGTAAAAGTAATGATTCCATTAGGTACTGCTTCATTGGCCAAGTGGTCGTAAGTGCGACTGCCAGGCAAGGGGTCTCAGGTTCGATTCCCGGGTCGGGCAAAGTAATACTGGGTATTTTTAAATATTCTCAGTAGTAGCACGGAGTCTGGAATTGTGCCCGGTATATGGCAACATACTCACCCCTATTACATGGGACTCATAACATAAATAGTGAAAAGTGGGTGTTACATTGTTCAGTGACATAATGTGCACCTCTGCCTACTCCTTCGGAGATAAAAGGCGTAATGTTATGTTAATGATTCCATTACTTATTTTTGTAGACTATCATAAAATAATAATAATTGTTATGGATACACACAAACTATATTATACTAGCTGTTGCCCGCGACTTCGTCCGCGTAGATTAATGACTTCTGACAGAATTCATCAGAATCAATTCAGTGCCCAATTAAGATTTACCTATTGTGAAATGATTTATCGTAATTTCAATAAATTAAAAATCCCGCAGGGTTCTTACCAGTCCCGGCCCGATCACGTAAGTTTTGAGTAATAAAAACTTCGACTATTGTTGTACAGAATCTCTATGAAATAAGTTCAGTGGTTAAAAGATAGAGAGTCCTGGAGCATTGACGCATAGTTCCCGTTCCCGAGGGACTTCTGTGATAAAAACTATCATACGTTACTCAGGTCCCAAATCATCGTTTTACCGAATGTAATTCAAAAAGATTCAATGATTCTAGATTCAATTTTCATTCCCAATTTCACACCAACTATCATTCCCTATTTTATCCCCTTAGGGGTGGAATTCATCAAAATCCTTTCTAAGGAGATACCTATGTCATAGTAACTTTATGCATGCAAAGTCTCAGCCCGATCGGTTTAAAACTGGCAAAGTATCACACAAACTTTCACCCTCTATATTACCCACTTTGGGGTGGAAATGTTCAAAAACCTTTCTAAAGGGACGTGTACGTCATAATATCTACCTGCACGCCGAATTTCAACCCGATCTGTGTAAAACTGACAAAGCCTCATACAAACTTTCATCCCCTACATTATCCCATTGGAGTTGGAAATGATCAAAATCCTTACTTGGAGATGCCTACGTCATAACATCTACTTTCATGCCGAATTTCATCCCTATCGGTGTAAAACTGACAAAGTTTCATACAAACTTTCACCCCTATTTTACCCCCTTGGGGAGTGGAAATGATCAAAATCCTTTCTTAGAGGATGTTTACGTCAAAATATCTATCGGCACGCCGAATTTCAACCAGATCGTTTTATAATTGACAAAGTTCCATACGAACTTTCACCCCCTATTTTACCCTCTTAGGAGTGAAAATGATCAAAATTCTTTCTTAGAAGATGCTTACGTTATAACATCTATCTGCATGCCAAATTTCAACCTGATCGGTTTAAAACTGACAAAGTCTCATACAAACTTTCATCCCCTATTTTACCCCCTTGGGGGTGGAAATTATCAAAATCCTATCACAGCGGATGCTTACGTCATAACATCTATCTGCATGCCAAATTACAACCCGATCGGTTTAAAACTGACAAAGTCTCATACAAACTTTCATCCCCTATTTTACCCCCTTGGGGGTGGAAATTATCAAAATCCTTTCACAGCGGATGCTTACGTCATAACATCTATCTGCATGCCAAATTACAACCCGATCGGTTTAAAACTGACAAAGTCTCATACAAACTTTCATCCCCTATTTTACCCCCTTGGGGGTGGAATTTATCAAAATCCTTTCACAGCGGATGCTTACGTCATAACATCTATCTGCATGCCAAATTTCAACCCGATCAGTTAAAAACTGACAAAGTTTCATACAAACTTTCATCCCCTTTTTTACCCCCTTGGGGGTGGAAATTATCAAAATCCTTTCTTAGCGGATGCCTACGTCATAACATCTATCTGTATGCCAAATTTTAGCCCAATCTGTCCAGCGGTTTGGGCTATGCGTTGATAGATCACTATGTCAGTCAGTCAGTCAGTCAGTCAGTCAGTCAATCACCTTTGAATTATATATATATAGATTTAAAAATAGTTTGTTGCAAGACTCCTGAAGAAGAGAAGATTGCACCATTTATAAATTTTCTTTTACTTATTCTTTTTAAATTTAATGCATATCAGAGTGTTGGTAAATAAAATAAGTATTATAAAATTACAGACTCCATGACGCCAATAATGACTGTGTGCTCAAACAGTAACGCCAGCAATGAAGTGATAAGCAACATTGTGACTAACCTCTTGGAGAAGAACTGCAAAATAAATTGTATGGACAATTATGGACAAACTCCACTCATGAAGGCTATTGGCTGCGGCAGGGTGGATGTTGTACAGAAATTCTTAGATCTCGGAGTAAATATTGAAGTCAGAGATCTACAAGGTTGGACAGTAAGTACATTTACTGAAATATTTTGTGTTATTTGACATTGTATTTCAACATGTTTCAGATACATTTGAAATTGGATACACAAACACAAACAAATATTTTGGTGATACTGAGGATTTTAAAAATTCCATGTAAATGTTTAATACTTTTAAAGAGTGTAACATTGTACAATACACACACAAATACTTTTCTTCATAGTAGGAGGTAGACTTCATATTCCGGTCATAATTATAACGACATAATTTTTTCACATACAATCATTTCCCCATGGAAAATTTGAATATGGTTGCAAAATACTTAAGGAAACTGATTTTTTATTCAGAGACCCCATGAATGAAACTTATTTTTCAGAGTCCCCATGATATGATCAATTTTACTCAAAACAACTTTATATATGTTATTGATGTTACGTTACAGGCATTGTTCTGGGCAGCTCACCACAATCAACCTCAAATATTGGAAATCCTGATAGCCCGTGGAGCGAGGATGTTAGAAGTCGACAAATACAATCGCACAGCCTTAGAACTAGCCGAGTTACACGATTATAATGAAATTGTGGAAATATTGAAAAGGCATCTTCAAATACCGGAGGATCATGAAGAGTCATATGATATGGAAATTACCACTTGGCATGATTTTTATCCGGGTATTAAAAAGGGGCAAAGGTAATCCATTTATTAATAATTATTAACTTAAATTTCAATTTCATACTTCCGTTAACGCAAGACTATAATGTAATGACGCCTGGCGAAATTGTAATAGCAACATATTTACACGCAATATAACTATTATTATTTTACCGGGCACTTTAATTAATCTACTGCTGCTTCCTTTTACAGTCCAGACTATAGAAGCGAAATCCCTCACCTGTTATATGGTATGCACCTTGAGAATTTCACTTCAACGATTATGAAGTCTGGCATGGATTTGAGGACATTCCTATTGCTAGAAGAAAGTGATATGGTGAAGTTAGGTATGGACTTACCATATGAACGACAAAGATTGAAGAGTGGACTTCGTCACTTTCATAAGAGGAACTGGAAACTTAAGGCCGTATCTGGTCTTGCTCTGCAGCCTACTGATAATTTTAGGTATCTATTCCTTGTTATAGATATGTTCTGCAACTCTGCAAATGCTATTTAACTCGTCGAGTACCGGTTTTGCAGACACAATTATAGAACAATAGGTTGCGGTCACCGGTGACCGCTTGGTATTTGACAGTTTAAATATACATTTTGATCTATATTTTATTGCATATATATAATATTGAATTGAGGATAATATATTGTATTGAATGTTTATCAAAATCCAAGATTAAGATCAGTTATAAAAAAACGTAATGATTTTGTCCTGTTTCGTTATTTAATCCTAAAACTACTTTAAAGACCACTCCAACTTTTAATTGATACCCATGTTAATAAAGTTAGGAATTTAGTTAGAAAATTAGTTCTTACTCAACTGTATTATTATAACAGCTTTTTTAATTGTTCGTAAATCATAATACTTGGACAGTGCCATATGAAATTCAACTCTATTTCTACAAAATGCAACTCAATTTCCAGTATGCTGAACTATTTGACGTCTTTGGGATCCCACCTTCATCAAATATACGTGTTAGAAGCAACCCTCCAGTACACTCTGCGAGAATACAACAAGATTCAAGATCAAATCAAATTTGAGCCACCAGAGTCCCCAACACGTGAAAAAATGGTCACCGCGGCCAAGAACATGCTCTCAAACGTAGACTGTATTAAAAGAGCTTCTGCCAGAGTACAGATTGTTTTGGAAAAGGTAAGAGAAATTTATTCATTATCTTTGTACTTATAACTTATTTTTTTAACAAATTACTAGGTTAAAGTAACATAATTATTAGGCTGATAAATATTTAGTTATAATGAAATCATGCTATAATATAATTAATAAGAATATATGTATGTATTTTGTTGGGTTGACCATGACTGTACAAATCACTCGAGAAATCTGCCGACTAGAGGGCATACGTCACACCTGTCCTCTACACAAGTCTGCAAAATATTTCTCGAAACGATGATACCGATACAATCTTGCCTGAAAGTGAAGAATAGGTGCACATTTTGCTACTTGTAATGGTAACTAATATATATCGGGCACAGTTCCAGACTTCGTGTTATTACTGACATTTTCAAAAATCGTAAATCCAAATCAAGATTTGATCTTGAACACCCTCTTATTCAGTAGTTAAACTTCTTGATTGTAAACAATATTTTTTTAATGGAGTAAGCCGGTAAACGAGCAGATAGGTCACCTGATGGTAAGCAATCAGCGCCGCCCATGGACACCCGATACACCACAGGTGTTACAAGGGTGTTAGGGGACTGGGGAGATTGGGTAGATTGAGGAAAGAGGTAATTGGGCCTTCGGTAACCTCACTCACACGACGAATCGTAATGAAAGTGTTGTTTCATTTAGGTTTTCTGTAAGGTCGTGGTATCATTCCTTTCGAGCCGACCCGTTCGTACCGAAGCATGGCCTCCCCACACAAGTTTAAAGAAATTGTATTTAAACAATCGTAATATTATTACTAACTTCTGATAAATACGTTCTTTAGATAGCTGAGAATAATCCAGAGCCTGCAGATCTGATCAAGGAAAAGACAATGCGGGACATAGTACTGGGATACTTCACTGAAGCTGTCGTCGTTGCTTCTCTAGGTATGATAGTCTACCAAGCCAGAAGCTATTTCTCACAGTTCATAAGAAAATAAATGTGTTTCTCTCATAACTGTTATTATATGAGTTCAAAGTCTGAGGGCTGATGTATTAACTTGGTGTTTGTTTATGTGATAAAAAGTTTTTGTTCTGTAGTCACACGTTGCTTCCTAAATTTGGTATAAGTATCGCATATTAGACCATATCGTTAAAGTATTCGGCATAATATACCAAGTTTCTTTTGTCAGAACGATTAGTTTTGATACTGCAACTCATATAAGACTAAAACCACAGTTTTTGTATGTTTAGTGTGGTGTTTGTGTCAGCTTGTGCCATTTTTACTGTATTAATTGATACAAATAATAAGTACTTTTAACTGTACTGTACATAATGCTGTAACCAAATGATTTTTCTCATTAAGTACAAGTATTTTAGGTTTTTACTGTTAGCACAAACAAATGTTTTGAGTATTGTGTACTTAACTAATAAACCGACAAATAATTTCTTAAATATAATGTATGTTTGTGTAAAGAAAAAAGAGTGTAGACAGGCTCATGTAAAAGCCTAAAACTTTAGCCCTATTCAGACATATCTACGTAATGTACCTAGTTAATAAGATTTTTATACTCAACTCTGTTCATCAACATCTGGCGGCGGTATTATTTTTCGAAAATTTAATGCCTGCTGCTCTAATACTAAATGCATTTCGTACAACATGATAATCTTTTAAAACTTGTGCTATTGATTATTCTAGTCTCAAACATTTTGAATCTCGATGTATCAATAGCTTATTGACTGTAAGGCTGATTTTAGTGCCACGCTGACCGTCAGCGCTGACGATCAGCGTGGCTCGTTTTACTATTGTCCTGACTAGGTCGTATGCATTGCGCGTCAGTCCCGCGAAGCAGTCAGGGCTGACCATCCTGACGCCGACGGTGCGCGTGCCGTCAGCGTCATACTTAAACCAGCCTTAGAGTCGCGCTGACCGCACGCTAACTGTTAGCGCTGACAGCTAAGATATATGAACTTCTGAGAAGCATTTTTTAAAGAAGCGTAGCTGTCTGTTCGCACGGTTCCTAGAAGTTCATATAATTATTTGGGCTGTCAGCGCCGACAGTCAGCGTGACACTAAAACTGGCCTAAAGTCACCCTAAAACTTGCAAGAAGTCTTTTAACATGTCTGTGAATAGCACAAGTAACATAGAATATCATTTTGCTACATCTAATTTGTAGGTACTCTGAGTACAACATGATCATTAAAGGTATTTTTGTAACTAAAATGATATAATGTAAAATATTATTGTATTCAACAATGATACTTTTGTGTCTAGTGTAAGTTCTCAGTATTTCTTTAGAATATGATAAATGTTAACAAAAATTCTCCTTACAGTACTGCCAAGAAGTTGTTATTGTTTTTCTAAAATGTGATTTATTATGTCGGCTTTGATTTCATCCGTGACTTGTATTTTCGAATGTCCTATAACAGTTTCGTGTTTGAAGGGCAAATTGTGACAAAGTGCAATTATTTTAGTTGTCTTTTTCAAATATGTAGACTTTAGTGCAGTCAGCCAATCCGTAAATAACGATTAGCTCATGTTTGAAACATTCTAATTACATTTTCTTATTTTATCTGGCGAGCTTTAATCAGGAAAGAATGTTGGATGTTAGTCGCCGGTCAGTATTACTATTGAGTCACAGAAACAGTGAGACCATACATTTGGGATATTATTTTTAGCTCGTATTTTGATTGATGTTTTAATTCTTTCAGCATGTAGGCGGGCTTTATTTGGAACGGCCACTATGTTAAATCTGAACGCATGTTATCATTGCGATGAAATGAGTTACTCTGACCGGCACATCGGCGTACTTCATCATTGTATATCACGTTTATTCCCGCTATAATTCATGTATTTCGACGACCATCATGGCACATCATACACGCACATTGAAAATTATGAGTGTCACTTGCCAGTCTGCTGGCGGCCTTGTCACTTACAGTTAGATGCATTTGGGACTTGGCCGGCATTAATTAGAGCTCGTTCATAATTAATTGCACGTTATTTGTATCCATTATTCATACGTAGGATGTGGTGTGGGTGAGCTCGCCGATGCATTCATGCGTTGCATACAACTTTGTTTTGTCATGATCTATACTTACTGTACCTTTGTCAGCAGTGCATAAACTGCATAACTTATACCCCTTTCCAGTAGCCGCCTAATGAGTGCAGCTGCAACTTTTTCTGTAATAAAATGCTCAATCTTACTTATATCTTTTATTCTACTACACCACCCTACATATAAAAGTTTATGTACAGACAAGACTAAAATAAATACTGTACCATGTAACAGCCGACGCATAAAAACTTTACTGACTTTGCACTTGACCTTAACGAAATAATGTCCAGAAATACAGTCTGCGTAAGCGCACAAATATGTGTGTTGACATTTCACACACTCGCTAAGCCAATAAAACGCTTGATTAATCTGATGCAGTTCTTTTTGTAGATACATTAGCTTTCTGTGTTTATTTGTAATCTTTGTTGATAGTGCACTCGTCAGCCGATCGCTACAGTCCGCCAAGTTGGTCAATCTGATAATACATTGCACTGACGATTAAATACGCACTACATTTCAGCATCAATTACCTACTTTATAGTTATTTACCAACGTAATTTTATTGAAAACAATGTTTTAACTTACGAAATTCGGTTAACTTCTTAATTAATTAAGGTTCGTTCATTATTTTGCTTTTTGCTAAAGATTATCACGACATAACAACACTGGACTTACGAATATAAGGATTCGGTTGTTGCCTGTCTTATTAATTAAAAATATTATCCAAATTCTAATTTCCTAAACTGAAGCCAGTGACGATAAGACAGAAGTTCTCGCTATCAAAATGTATTGAATGCTACTTAAAAATGTTGTTACGCTAAACTTCGTAAACGCACGTGTAAAGAATGGCAAATACTCGGTTTCCTGGCGTAACGGCAACAAAAAGTTCTTGTTTGTGTCACAATGGATCTAGTATTAGGTACTTACCTTCACAGTGTGAACTATATGTATCTATACTACGTATTTTCTAAATATATATTTTTTCTATACTATTTTTGTTAACTACGAATACACTTTATCACGATAAATCATGACTATAAATAAGTAAAGATATTACATAGTCCAGTAATTACAGACTTACAGACATTTTAAGGACTAAGTCACGGTGAGTGCCTGCAAAAAGGCCGAAAGGTCGTGAAAATCAGTTTTTGATATTATGCCGCGACCTGTTACTCGGAGGTCAGTAGAAGACTTAAACTGTTCCTAGTAAAGATTTGCAAAAAAATGCCTTTTCCATTTTTCTGTATATTAATCAGTTTTCGTATTAGACCATTGAGAAAGCGACTAGAATCCACTTACACTGTTGTTGTGTATCGCACACCAAATCATACTTGGGATTGAACTGTTCTAATGATAATCAGATCACATTTAGAGCTAAGTTTCTTACTCTAAATAAATACCCAGCACTAAAATTAGTCCTTATTTTACACGTAAGTTGCGGCAAAATACTACAGCCGTTCTTCGTACCGCGTAGTTTGTAAGGCGAAGTTCGTAGGCCAATCCTCGTAACCCGTAGTCGTAGCGAATAGTTTGTAGCCCGTAGACCTTAGTGCTTCCTCTCGCGTCCGGGCCTAGTGCAGGCCATGATGCGGAGCGAGGGGGACTGGGATGCCGTCTCCTCCTTTTGCGAAGCAGTCATGCTAGCTAAGGAGGAGGCGGGACGCGTGAGGCAGCGAAGCGCTGCCTCCTCGCAACCCAGCCATCGCGAAGGACACACCGGGCGTCGGGGATCGCGAGACGATCTCCGGCCACCGTAAGCGCGGGCCTGCGGACGGCGAGCATGGGTGGCTCCCCGTCCGACCAGAAACAGACCCGAGCGTACGGCGCGTCGCGTTCCGCGCGCGCCTCAAAGAGCCATCAGACCACCACAGATGGGGCCCAATAGGGCCGATGCCGATTCGGAGTCGCGGAGAACCTAACGGGTAACCGGGGCTCCGGCTCGACGTGCAGGAGAAGGAACGGGGTGGTTTTTAGTCAGTAAGAGTCTGACACTCCCTCCCGCCTCACCCAGGCGGGAGCAGTCATTCGATGATTTTCCCCCCTTAAAAAAATAAAAAAGACCTTAGTGCTTAGTGCATAGTTCCTAGTTCGTAGTGCAATGCTCGTAAACCAGAGCGCGTAGTGCGTAGTACGCGATCGATGCGCCAGTGCTACGAACTAAGATTTACGCGCTACGAAAAACGAACTACGAGCTACGGCTCTAATATTTTGCCGCAAATTACGTATAAAATTGGACTTTAGATTAGATAGAGCAAGAGACAACTCAACGTAAAATCTGGTTACTTTTTCACTTATTGACAGTCCACGCTAATAGTCTCATCTTAGTAACATATCCATCGAAAGGTTTATATGATACTTATACGCGTATATATTTTTATGTTCTTTATTTTTATTTCTTTGTGGTGATTTTCTTGTATCAGAGGTTTTTAACCCATTCTCTATCTTTATCTTTTTCATTATTGGCTTACTGTTTAGAATAAAGCTATAAGATGAGCGCGTAACTTGGCTCTTAGGCAAATACTGTTTCAATATATACAAATAATAAAATTGAGTGTCTGACTGTAATATTGAAATAACCGTACCTAGTATAAATATATACCGTATATAATTTTTACTAAATGTATTTTTGTCTATCTGTCTGTCTGTTTGTACTGGCTAATCTCTGAAATGGCTGGACGGATTTTGACCGAAATTTTATTGGCTGGTAGCTAACTAAGGCTTAAAAGCTAAGAAGTAACATAGTCTACTTTTATTTTAGAAAAACGCAAAGTTGTCGGTTTAGCTAGTTTGAAATAAAATTGAAACACATTCTATAAAATTGATTTGTAAGAATTTATGATTATTATTTACGACAGATTTATAACAAACATCCTCATTTATAAGAATAGATAAGGAATTTCTTATGTCAATTCCTGTACACATGCTGCTACTGAAAATTTCTAACATGAAACCCAAACGTCCGTGCTCAAAATTTGCGCCTGTGGTCAATTCACTAGCTTCAATGCCTTCCTACCTGATTATAGTAGCGATTAAACTGTCAAACACCAAGCGGTCACCGGTGACCGCAACCTATTGTTCTATAATTGTGTCTACAAAACCGGTACTCGACGAGTTAAATAACTATAAAATAAATTTTTAAACCCACTAACGATGAAGTACCTCCTCTTCTTATATGTAGATCCTATATTTAAATAACATGCCGTTCACGCTTACATTTCCATATGTTTGCATTAAACATGGGTTGACTTCTGCCTTATTCTGAGAATGACAGAAACCAATATCATAATCGGCTGCTATCGACAAGTTTTATGGGTTAGTAATCGAATGATGGCGCCAGGAATAGGCAATTGATAGATAAGTATGTGTCGGTTGAGGATGCCATCTAGTCATTTTGGCGATGACTCATTCTCATAGACTCCGAGCCAGGGAATCACCTTGGCATTCAATCGTATACAATGTATGAATAGATTTAATGTACCTTGTTAAATTTTTATTTGTATTGATCCAAGTAGCAGTATACATTTTATATCGAATCAATTCTTTAATACCTACTTACGTAAGAAACTATCTAACGAGGAATTAATAAAGGTAGATAATAATATTAAATCTTCGTTAGTTCAGCAATTGTGCGCACGACGGGATTATACAATCTGTACCTAGACATAACTTCAAGCGTTCCTTGAAACAACAAGCTTGAAGTTGGAGATTTAGTACGTTGAGCTAAAATAATGATTTAATAATTACCTACAGCATTCATGTTTAATAGGTACAGACAATAAATCGGAAGTCCAAAAATGAAATAACCTTATAATAATCCTAATCCCTCTCCCACAATTATTTTTGGGTTTGAATAGATACCTCCATATTTTATTTTAGAATCTGTAGTAGCAAGAACTAGACTTGCCGTTTAACAATAGCTCATTTTGACTTATTTGGTAAATTAAATGTCATTTGTTTCCAAGTTCACCAACCTCAACGTGTTAAGGACGTTCCAAAAATGCACAAATGATCGAAATAAAAGAAATAATAATTATGCAGAGTTCCTTCACATGTGCTAAGACGTTTGTTAATTAGTTGCTCTCAAGTGTGGCTCATTGTCGTTAATGTTTTCTCACTGTGTCGTCTGTGTTTTTATGACCGCAGTGAACAAAATAGTGCTGTGAACGAAGCGATAAACTGAAACTTATTACAGGTGCTCTGTTTATTCAGGTCATCCTGAAGACTGACTCATATATTCAGCACATAAAAGACAGACATTATTATACTTGTTATTCTCTAAAGGCGCAGACAGAAACGGGGATTAGTCACTCTATAATAGCGAGCGGGTGAAAGATAAACCCACTGGCCTGCTGGCTATTTTTCGGATGGTTAATAGTGGAAAACATATACCTACCTGAACATATTGTTGATATGGTTATAATTATACATTGTCCATCACCATTAATAAATACACTAAAGAATGATACAGGTGGTACAGGATTCTCCAAGTATTTGAAATACGCGAGATCTGGTGGCTTACTCTTGAATCCAATTCCGATCGATCGACATTGGTATTGTGAAATTTCGTACTCTTGAGTCACAAAATTAGCGACCATTGCATCCGTATTGCGTGGATATTGAATGAACTAAATGGTATCGAGTTTGGCTTTATATTCCGTACTCCGAGGGCTATTTTAACAGCTACGATTATGGTTGTATAGCGTTGACATTGAATAATTATTGAGATTTTATTGGATTGAAATTGCATTGACATTGAGATTGGTTTCAAGAGTAAGCACCCTGTACCGTTTAATTAAGACTTTTCTTCTCTGTAAACTGCCGTATTTATTAAAAAAAAATGTATGAAATCTATTCTAGACTCCAATACTAATACCATAGTTACATACTGAAAATGAATCTAAATATGGAAATTGTTTTACGCTGTCACAGTCAACAAGACACTCAACTATCCAAATTATCCGCGCGTTTATTTAGGTCATCTTATAAAGTGAGTCACTAATTGAGCGCTGGATAACAGAGAAAAATGTTTTGTAAAGTGTTCTTGTAATTGTATGTACAGTTGTGGAGCGCGTTATATTAAACAATGACCTTTTTATTCGTTTGTGTCACAAATAGTTGCACAATGACTGGCTTACCTTAGTCACCGAGTCACCGTCCGGCCTGTCCGAATGTGATTAGGATCTACACTCGCCTGTTGCTAATAACGGCTTCCGTTTCCTTTATTTTGCATATGGCTAACAAGTGTTATTGCTTAATTAATTGTAAATGTGGTAATAGATAAGCAATTATTCGTAGTGAAAGTGAATGTTTAATATTATTGTCCCCGCAAAGCCATCGAATAATATCTTGTTTGAAATAGGTAGCAGGCTAGTTTGGGATATGTAATTGTTTAACAATTATCAACGAATATTATTACAGAACCATTAACCCTACTTATGGTTTTTTAATTTAATTTCAATGGTTGTTTGTGACTCTTTTTAATCCTGAACGGTTGTTGAATGGTTCTGATGTCCAAAGTGTTTGGTAATAGTCTGTAAAAGCACTTGATATTTTTCTGGTATATTCATATAACAATACAAAGCATAAATATATTGTAGGTATATCTGACTTTACTTTCTTGGGAAATAACAACTGTTTACGTTAGGTACATTATCCGATACTTAATAACTAGTTACGATAGACATGAATCATAAACTAAGGAATGTTGACGTCAGATAATATCAATTCGATTTCTTGCTATAACAATGGTCTTTGCAGTATTAAGTAATGCGTCTATACCGAATGAAATTCTTGTTTACTTGTCTTGTCCTTCCTACTCGTGATTCTGTCTATCTTTTATATGTATATATATACTAACTCGGTATTTATTTATTGTGTTATGTAGGTATGCATTGTGTACGTCAAGGCCATCGGATCGCATACGATACGGTAATAAGTATACCTTTGAATCAATAAACCTGCACTCAATCGGGTTGTAATAAAATAAAAACAGAAAGCTTTTTAAATTTTATTGACATCTAAAACATTCGTAACAACTGTTTGTACTAAAATATAAATGTGTATTATGTTAAAAGCTGTTAAATTGGTGTATTATAACGTGCTTGTATTAGCTCTGCTCAATGCAGGTTGTGTTAAGCGAAATGGAGTTCTGTACATATGGTATAAGACACTTTATCAATCATCGTTGTCTTCATAGCCTATTTGCGAATAGCCTTTTTAATATCAAAGTACAAGTTGTACCAATTCATTAATCGTGAACACATTTAAGCTCAGTGAAATATTTTTCCTTGTAGGCCAATTTTGTCAATTCACGGTGATCCTAGAACTACTTAATCGTATATAGGACACAAATAAAACTTCATCGTAATACCCAATATAAAAACAAAAGTAACAATTGCCTGAATACATCTCCTATCACTCGTCGAGAAAGCAAATGTCACTGAAGCAACATTCAACATGCAAACTGTGCTCAATATCGTTGGTTGGAATTTTTGAGAATACTAATTGACCAATAAAAATATTAAGGTGTTAATAAATTTTGAGATTCTCTAAAAGATTCTAAATAAATATCGCCAATTGCTCCTCTTAAATTTATAAAACGTAAATTAAAATAAATTATTAACAGTATTATGGAATAGCTGCTGTCATGGCGGACGGCTAGCGAGGGCACGCTCAGTGCTTCTGGATGGGGATGTTCCTGTCGGTGATGGCGAGCTGCGGCAGCGGCGCCTCCACGGTGAGCACGCCGTCTCGGGAGAGGGACGACTTGATGGCCTCGGGGTTGGTGCCCTTTGGCAGCAGGAATTCCCTATTGTATTCTCTGTACACGGACTTTGTGTCAGACTTCTCCTCGTGCTTGGCATGGACCTGAAAAACAAGCGCATTCCTTTGTTAAAAACGTTCAAACTCAACAATACATGTTTTGACTACACGTACCGAGTACGAGTACACGACTGTATTTCGACACTAATAAAAAAAGAAATGCTAGTGTTTTGTGTGCAGAAAAGCGATAGTTTGATGTTGGCATGCTGCCTGCCTTGAGATGTTTCGAACATATTTTCAGGCGTAATACGTAAATAAACGCTTCATTATTTCACAGATAATTTATCTTCATTAGACCGTGACAGAAAATAAAAGTGAAGTAGCGTTGATGTGTTGTCTACTGAAACACTCTTTAAGAGTGGCGTGTTACTAATTAATTGTCTGCTGATACTGATAGCCAACACTGCATTAAATGTGTTGTCTCTTTAAATCTGGACCGGATTTTGGTCGGCATTTAATGTTGACGAAACTGTTATGTACTAGATATTTCTCGGATATTGGCTCTGGCAGAATCGGTCATATAAACGTGTCAGTGACGCTGAGATAAATCTGACTAAAATAAGTGAGGAATTCAGCGATGACGTCAAACAGCAACCGAACATTGTGTGGATATAAACCGCCCCATTGCCAAATATTTGTGTAAACCTACACCGGTAGGTATCTGCGCGGTAACAGCAGTTGAGCAAATTGTTCGAACTGGTAACCATTTAGTTTGCCATAAATTTTACGAGCGTTGGCTGTGAATTTATTTAGCAATAATCCGTTACTGAGAAACACATCACCTACACAGTTACATACACCATATAAACTACATTTTACATACTCTATTAAGTAATATAATGTTTCTAACAATTATTAACATTGTAGTAAGTTTCACTATAGGTAAGAAATAGCCATTTCATAGGGCGTTACTAGACAAATTCTATAAATCTAACAAGAACGTAATTCCACTGCTACGCCTACACGGTGAATATGGAGCGTAGCACGCTTTGTTAACAATTATAATTTATTCATTTATAACGACTCCATTAACTCATTGTAGTTGAATAAGATTTATGTACATGTAATAAATTACTAGGATATAATATGATTGTAGTGCTCGATAAAACATAATACGACGTGAATGTGTCTGGAATTGATTTTAATATTACTAAAAGGCAGTTGAACCAGCTTCAATTGAAACAAAACGTTGAGTTTAATGTCAAAGCAATTAGGTAATCAAACACTATTCTGTTTCATGAATATGAACTACTCTATGTAGACGAAAAAGTAATTGTAGAAACTCACCAATAATTTGTTGTCTACAGTCTTGACGACGATTTCCTCAGGAGTGTACTGGCTAACATCGAAGCGGAGCTTCAGTGACTTGCCATCACCCTCATCCTGGATCAAGGGCGAGTTCAGGCTATCCCAATGGCTGGGCTCTGCCAACTGTCTGCTGTCACTGTGCTGTGACGATGTGGTGCTACTGTAAACATCAAAACACACAAATTACTTAATGCATTCAACCATTCACATCTGGGAGTCGGTTACGTAACTAACAAACGCGGAAGTTTTGGGTTTCGTCCTAGTTTCCGAAATAAGAATTTTACTGCGGTTTCAACACCGGCCCATAAATATCTAGTATTCTATATTAAACACAAAATTAGGTGTTTATTAGTTTGTATTCCGACTCCAATAGTGATAAATAAATATGCGTCGAAAACCACCGTAATTCTAACTTCGTGCATTATATTATATTGTTGTTGTAGTTAGTAGGTAAATAATTATAATAATATGATGATTTGAGTGGCGACATTGAGAGATAACCTCTACTAAAGTAGATATTTACTGACAATTGTGTAAGTATATGCATTGCAAAGTGGGTGCTCTACGAGTCACAAGCACAATTTGATAACCATTCGACATTCGTCGCCAATAACTTAACAACTAAAGATTAGTAAAAGACCCAAACGTATGAAGCGAACAAACCAAATCAAATACGCTCCAACATTTTCAACTCCACTACAATACGTCTCATGTTTACATAAATCAAATAAGTAGTAACCGTACAATCCTACTCAATTATAATGGACGGTATCTAAACGGCACATCGTTACACTTACATGCAAAGAATACTAAACACTAGTAATACTAGCTACGGCTAGAATATGTACTAGCACCTACTATGGTCCTGTTTTACGATACAATACTACAGTGACCATGATGAGGTCGTTGACAATGCTATCGATTTAAGTATTATAAATAGGTACATACCCAGACTCAAAGGTTCTTTTCCAAAATCGGATATTAAAAATTACTAGCTACCATTATACCTACAAAGTCTAGCAAAAACGATTAGACATCGACATGCGACATACTATCACGCTATTATTCTATAACCCATTAGGTTTGACCACATGGATTGCATGCAAGTTATTAAAAGCTTTAATGATATGCAAAAAATGAAATTGTGGTTTTTATTTCCAGAGCGACTCGACCAACATACAATTACTGCTATTAAAATCATGCATTCATGTTTGCATTACATTTGTGTAAGTACCTATCTATGTAATGGTTTTTACGTTGGAAACCTCCAAGTGTTTATAAACGGATGTTAGTTAAGTAAATTAGGTGTGAAGTTAACAATTTTGTGGCATTTATTACAGACTGTGAACACAAATATTTCGTGAATTCTTCTAATTAATCCATATGATTACAGCGCTATCATTCTGTTCGTTGGTTGTATAGTAACAGAGAGTCTGACTCAATAAAGTCACTGAGAGCAAGTACCAATCTATGACCCATGAACGATTCAGCCAGTGCATAACATATTTTACGTTTTTCAACAAAACAGCTGATGTCATTCTCAAGTCATCAGCGCAGATACAAGGTCATTGTCAACAAAATGAGCTCATCGATATTAGAGGGGGCACTTGTATCGTAATTTGTGATCAATTGTGCAAGTGGGCGGTAGATACAATAGTCAATACCTACATAAGTATATTGTCGACCAAAAAAATGTTTGCTAGCTCAATATTGATTTTGTATGGACGAGAACTCTTTGGTCACGATCAAGTTAACTTTACTGCTTCCTGCACAGAAATGAAATCATCAATTACTTTTATTCAAATTGGATGCCTTGAATGGTACTTTATGATCGTCAACATATGAAAAAAGACAGAACACTGTCTCAGAAATCCATATCATACTCAACTTTAAGTACCCATCATATATTTTTTACTCCTCTATTAGTCATCTCAAAATTCGTTCCTTTTTTGTACATCAGGTATGTACTATAAGGTCACCTATGTCACTTTTTGCCCAAGGTACCTTTATACCTATAGTCCGCAGCTACCTTGTGTGCGGTGGCATTCGGTTTACCGCATGCCCAGCCGGCAGCTAATCGCATAACTTCAATGCTAAACGGATTAGGTTTCATTCGGTACAATACAAATTCCTACAACATTCAAGTGTAGTGGAGAGAATTAATTTAACAGTATCACAAGTTCTGAAAGGTGTGAAATAAGTCCAATTCTTGACGTAGCTAGGTATAAAAGTTAGCCTAGCCTAGTTTTTGCAACAATTAAACGCTACAAAAGGCTTGTTTCCTATTTGAATTGTCTTTAGTCTAGATTTAGTTCACCTGAATGCAAATTTTACTTTCTATTCGAGTTAGCCTTGGTTGGTACTTGTGTCGGTCGTAGCTCCCAGCCTCCTAACGACTGCACAAGAATTCACAGCGATTCACAGAGCCTGCCTTGGTCTAAGGCTCAAATTAACTCATCACGGCTTGTTTCATTTGCACTGTCCCACATACCCACTAAACTTCGCTTACTGCCGACTGAATAAGATCATGTCTACAATTTTTCATCATCACAAAATCAAAAACGCGATTCATCTTCTTCAACATCAATCTCTAATGATGATGTCGTGAATCGTGACTTTACTTCAAATATTAAGTCATTAGCAATTTCCATGTTTTTTTAACTTCGTGCAATCATGGCTAAGGTTGGTTTATTGGCCCAGGTATTCAAGTGATAAATACGTACATATTCAAATGTATGTGCATAATTTATCTTTTTAATGATAAAGTACAAGTTCAGGTGCTGGCCATATGCCGTATTCGTCATACATTGAAGACAAATTTCTCAACCTTTAAATACAAATGAGACAAAATGGTTCAATGTTAACAATACATTGTCTTATTACCGTGCTTAATACCCGTAAGATTAACATGCTTTACATAATAATATGATAAATACGTAGGTACATAAGTGGCTATAGTATACTGAAATTAGTTAGTTGATACTTAACGCTTAAATACTCAAACGCTTTGCTGTTTAAAGTGATTAAAACAGACCATAGAACAATTTTATGGGAACAGAATTAAATAGTGTTTATGTATTTAGGCGTCAAGTTAGCCGCTACCTTTGGCATAATGATCCTACAGGTGCAAGTATAATGCATGCAAGTGCTAACGTAGGCACAAATTATACTAACTACAGTTACATACAAGTACATCCATTACACACAATACAATATGGACATTATATATTTATTTGATGATATGTTACCTCTCCGACGACTTGGTTACTCCTCCGGAAGAAACAGATTCGAAATTGTAAGACATGCAAAAAGCAATGTATGTTGTTAGTTTTAAGCTCGAAATTCGTTATTCTTAGGAAAAATTTAGGAAACTATTTAGTTTTTTAAACAACCTTTCTAGTTATAGTATTATCTCAGAGACGTTATATTTTAGAGGAAATACTAAGTATCAAGTACAACACTCAATAGGGGCACACCATAAGAAATCCATTACTACTACTTATTTACAATACTTGCTTAGTATTTAGGTCGTATTTACAAATTGGGGCGGAGGGGAACAAACGGTTGTTAAGTTAATTGAGCGTAGGATTGCCACTATCAAGTAAGTAGGTACTGGTTTGAACTGGAAATATGACTACGGTCCACAACTTTTGTAAAAAGTTCTACACCATGAGTAAAATCAATTTTATTACCCTTCACTGATTGATTTTCTTTAACTGAAATGTGGTTAGCAATTGAAAACTGATTGAGTCAGTTCTTCAAATTGATATATTGACCTTTTCTGTCGTTAATTTCAATCACGGTGGCAACCCTAGTCAATAAACCAGACGTTAACGAGGGATATCAAATTAAACAGAGATACATTTTATGTTCGTTTTTTGAAATATTAAACCAATATAGTTTATATCATCGACGATTAGATACAGTCATCGAGACGAAACAGACCGTTACACAACAGTAAAATATGTGTATAACAAGCATCTTAAACACCTGAATAGAATAAGATAGAATCATTTATATATGTAAATATATAAGTTACTTGTATATAGGCAAGTAAAATATTAATTTTGTAACTCGTATAAAGCATACAATAAAATATGAGCATAAGTATATATCGCAGCACACAGTGTGAGCATTACAAACAGCCAAGTGACGTCAATGTCTCACTGCTACAAGACAAAGTGAAAAATTGTCGCTTAACTTTAATCATTCTGCTAAGTATGTAGGTTTGCGTTAACAGCTGCTGCTGCCAAATATGTCCAAACAATTCTTATGTACCGCAAGCCGCTACCCACACGGACCATTGAAACATGGGCGGACTAGTAAGCCCACACTTGAATGAAATTGAGCAAGATCCTAAAAATATTGGTGACGTGGTGCCGCGAGTCCTATCGTTGTTTATTTTGCTCGTTATGTCGTATACAAATCGTATTGCCTCCGTACATATTTGCCTACCCACATGTGTGAATATGAATTAAGGTTGACAAGCAAGAATCCTACGCAGCGACGCGAGATGTCGAATGGTACTGAGTGAAGGCTGGTATTGCATCACTAGACTCGGCTGAAACAGAACCAACTCGCTCCAAGTGGGTCATGTATTCATGCCGTAAACATAATTTCAGCGCATTTGCGCCAGCAAACTATATACCTTGCACTGTGTTGATAAAACAATCGTAAACCGGTTTTCTGCGCGGTATGCAGATGTTTTCACCATAACCCAAGGTGTCTGATATTAACACTGCGTCGTGCCTGCATTTACCTAACTATTTATTAAAATGCTGACCTCTGTTCTACTGATATTGATAACCTTTGAATTTAGGTAATTATCAGTAGTTTATTGAGAAATGATGCTCGTGCTTACTTTACAGTTCTTGGCTTTGACCTTGGAATACATCTTGGGATAAAAAGGGATGGCAAATAGAAGTATCTGATGTCCCTAATCTGTATACCTACTATGTTATTCCCTATACGCAGCCAGCAGTGCAGCTACTTGATGTAGTGCTTTGCCTAGCTTGTACGCGCCGGGTTAGATTGTATAACACTCGATACGCACCCAGGTACATTGTGTTTACAATTTCACGCGTTTCTGTGTTTTAGCTACAAAATTCTCTGGTTTAGAGGCGAGCAACTGGCGCTATTTCTATTTATGACATCATCCCGCGTCGGGCTTACGTATCGCTGCACGCTTTAAATGGAGGCGACTGAGTTGTCTGCAGTTGATGCCGTTCCGCGGACTGATCCCGAATAATACCTTTTGAATACTTTCTTGGAGTAGCCGACACGGCCGAGGTGGGCGACTGTCTTGCGAAACTACCAAACTCATTAATTCAAGATTCCCTTTTAGGAAACAGGCCCGACTACGTAACTGTACGAACGGAATAATTTAAAGCCATGAAATAACTCGGTTTATTCACCCTCTTGACAAATGCTCACATTAAAATTCCATCATGCATTATTGACATGTTCATGTTTAACTTGCTTGTGGGTTGCTATAAGTAAGTAGACGGGATTTATATCATCTTCAATCAAAGCGTTAACATCGCGACTTCAGTTAAAATAAAATTAAAATTCTATCAAATAATTAGTAAATGTAAATAAATACCTTGTTGTGCTTTTGAAAAAGTTGTTGCTTTCTCTGTTCATGAGTTCCGATCTGAATTTGCTCATTTCTTCTTCCATCTTCCTCATTTCAGCATCGAATCTCTCTCTGATGCTGGAGAATTCAGTGTCGATGACAGAAAAGTCACCAAGCTTAATGGGAATATTCCTTTTCAGACCACTGTCAGCCATTTTAACGTCGTGTGTTTCGGGGAAATTGGTGAAACTAAACAAACACTGAAACGTTCTTATGTAAACACGGATCACAGTGTCGCTACGCACTCAACGGCAGACAAGGCAGCACTGATCATTAGTCGTCGACTCGGCGTCAGGGGGCCTGCGCACAGTTTTAAATAGCCTCACGTTCGAACGCTGTCGAGACTCGCTCGGCGTCACTCGGCCCACACTTTGCTTCTCGCTCATTCCACGTCTGGCTATGCCGTGGCTCACACCCGAGCATCTTCGCCATGATGCATAGGCGCTGCCTTCCACTGACGGCAGCCACTACGTAATGTGATTGATGAATCATTGATCTCAGTTCGTCTTTTCTGTATAAGGCAATCAGCACCATAACTAATACGATTATCTTATTCACCGCGGTATTTATGTTTACCTACTCACTAGACATACCATCGTTTCTGTAGTTTCCAACTTCCAACAAATGCAGAAACGTTAGCTGAGTAATAAAAAAATCTTGTAAGACTAGATGGTCACCTTGGCCTTATGACGTGATTTTGACGTCACGATGGAAGTTACCTAACTGTTTTAAGATCCTACCAGGCTGACATTATGTTTGGAAATACGTTGCTTCTTAAACTAACGGATATAATTAAAACATTGCTGTGTAAAGTAGATAGGCATAGTCAATCGTGTCATGTTAAAAGTAGGTATACTTAATCACCAATTTCCCATTGACAAGGATTGTGAAACTTGAAACAATGGTGAAATAAATAAAAGTCCGTTTAGGGCGACACGGTCACGGAGGTAGGCAGTTGAAGCAGTGGACCTTGATGCCTAATATGAGTCACAAGTTTGTCATGTGTTGAGAGTGTTAAGACAAAAACATCCAATTATGTCCACAGTAACCAGTAGGCGAACATGTAATATTCGTTGTATTCATTACAAATAGGAAACATTATTCATGCTTTTACTCCTACGTTAATATCAATCATTGCGAGATATTTACTAGGAATTCGGTTTGGACTGAACTGAACCAATCCCAAGAACTAGTACAAGGTTGGGTTGCACTTATAGTTTCAATCCCGTTCTTCAGTCTAGCCGCGGCATTTGTAAATCGTTATTAAATTGTAAATCACATCACTTAATAATTCTCATTATTTAAATGAAGTACGCAGGCAGGAATGTGGTTATTTGTTTGAATTTCAGCAATATTTTCCTGCTGGAGTTGAAAATTAGTTTCATTCGCAAGACTAAAATAACTGAACGCTACAGTTTGACCTACTCTAAAGTTTTAAACATTGAAGGTGGCTGACGGAAAGTTGTTCTTAGCGTTTGGGTAATTTTGTCCATAAATAGCGGTTGTAGCTAATCACATCATCAGTATCTGTCAACAAGTTGCTCAAACTGTCCTGGATAGGTTTATTTATAGGCCTTGCTTCACATATGGCTGAGTCTTTTAACAAAACACGAGTCATCCCTCCAAAGAGCTCGCACCCCACTCTTAATGCACCATTAATAAGCGCCGACAGCTCTTTCACCACAGGAAACTACTCTAACGCTTAAAGCTTGAAGGTTGAATCCGTCAACTTTATTTTCGGAAACATTGTTGTTCCAAAATATTTGAAATGTATTCGTTTAGTAGATGGATGCTATAAATTCATCGATGGATAATACTTTTAGCTGCCAATAAATTGTTAAGATGCTCTTAAGTAATCTACAATGGTATTTATGATTAGAAAAAGCTCGTGTTGTTGTATTCACGATCTACAAAGGGGAGAGAGTACTTTTATGGCATCCATATGCATCCAACCGAACAAACGTGTACCTAAGTAATGTGTTCGAAAACTAACAAAAGACTAAGCGACTGATGACTATAAATTTATTTTACACAAATTTGTTGCAATGTAGTAGAATAGCTCATGATAGTTTGTTAAGAAATATTTTGTTACTTATGACAGTTAAGTATTATAATGAAATTGAATTTGATTATCTATACTTATAATAAATGTGTAGAGAGGTGAATTCTGTACATGAAATACCTATATTTTCAAAATAACTAACCTTTCTTCCTCTAACCTTATTATTATTGTAGTAATTTATTTTATCTGGATCATCTGATACGATTTGGTCGAAGCGACTTAATAAAAGGATTATAATTTGTTATTTAAACTGTCAAACACCGAGCAGTCACCGGTGACCGCAACCTATTGTTCTATAATTGTGTCTATAATGACGGTACTTGACAAGTTAATATAAGTAAACCCTTAGATTGCCTCGTTGGCCGAATGGTCGCAAATGCGACTGCCGTGCAAGGGGTCTCGGGTTCGAATCCCGGGTCGTGCAAAGTATTACTGGGTTTTATCAATAAATCTCAGTAGTAGAACGGAATCTGGAATTGTGCCCGGTATATGGCAATAGGCTAACCCCCTATTACATGGGACTCATAATATAAATAGTGAAAAGTGGGTGTTACATTGTACAGGGGCATAATGTGCACCTCTGCCTACCTCTTCGGGGATAAAAGGCGTGATGTTATGTTATGTTATGTTATGTAAACCCTTAAAATCCCTATACAGAGATCACAACGAACTCTAACAAGTGAACCATGTTCCTGTTTTACAATGATTAAAACCCATACAAGCAAAAAATCGATACCATTTTGTGTAAATGTCGAATGTACCTCTAGTTTGGACGAAAGGGTAGTGATGAAGTTCTAATTGAAAACTTTAATAAAAATTCGATGTTTATGATGGCGCCTGGCATTTCTAAGACAGGGCTTAACAAATGTAGTTAGTGTCTGAGTATTCAGAGGCAAAGAGCTAGACATGTGACGTGATGTACTGCAAACCGTGCTCCATTCATTAGCATAGCATGCTCTATTTATTGCGTTTAGATTAGAACTGTGCGACTCTTGAGCACTCTCATCTCGCGTTTAATGTTTATTTTACATGTTTCTTATTAGTATATATATCCTGAAGAGATAGTTACAAATATATAGTTAGTTTTAATGTACCTAATGTCAATTTTTTGCTTGTTCGAGTCTGGTGTTGTCTTTAACTGGTGAGCTTTTTGGTAGACACCAACCACATTTCAAATCCAGTATAATAACATAACATCACGCCTTTATCCCCAAAGTGGTAGGCAGAGGTGTACATTACGACACTTAATGCCACTGTACAATGTAACACCCACTTTTCACATTGTATGGTCCCATGTAATAGGGGGGAGCCTATTGCCATATACCGGGCACAATTCCAGACTCCGTGCTACTACTAAGATTTTTTGAAAAAACCCTGTATTTCTTGTATTCTTCTGTATTCCCACCCGGGAATCGAACCTAAAACCCCTTGCCGAGAAATCCAGTATCTATCTATTTAATGATTCATTTTTTATTTAACTAACATCAATTTTCGCCGTTATATTTTAAGTTTCATGAAATAACGAGCTTTTTGCAAGACTGCGATGCGAAGCTATTTCCAACCCCTATGCTATCAATTCTCTAACCCCTGTGCTAAATATTTGGTGAAAATTCCAAAAATCGATCCCAATAGTACCCCCTGCCCAAACTCGAGACATCTTAGCCGTCGCAATCGTACCCTCTCGACCAGCGATGCCATTCAGTTTATTAATACAAAATTACTCATTGCTACTAAGAAGTTATCATATTTTATGAATGTAACGAAGACAACAATATAATTTAATTACAATTTATTTATATCAATGAAACAGAGCGTCTAGAAATCGTAAAAAACAATGATGCATGTATACATTTACTTTAAACAAAGAGCCAGTGAATTAGCGTTGCTTCTACGTCATTGTCTTAAAATAGTGGCTGATCTGTAGATGCTGCAGAATGTCAATCAATATTTATGCGAATAAATTATTACTTTATTATTTTATCGTGAAAACCTTGATATTAATCAATCACAAATAATGTTATCATATTTTATTTTATCGAAATTCGAAACGCGTTTTATAAAGTCATATGGTCCGGGAATAGCAGGTAAGTACAATAGAATTGACAGTAAAAAATCTATCGAAACGAAAATAATAAGGTGGATAACAGGTTTCTATACAACAATGAATTCTTACGCTCCGTTGCCGTTGATCCCATCTTTTATTCTCACGTGACAAGGACAAATTAATTTTAGTAGGACTTTTTGATAAAAATTAACGACTTGAAGTCTTTTTGGTCAATAAATATTGTCTATTACAGTATCCCAATGTAGCCTACCTACCTATATATTTACTTGTATGTTTTTTAATCGTCATAGTTTTTTAACTATTACGTAATCGAAATTTTTCTTAGTTGGTATTATTCAATCAAATTTATATGTAGAGGTATATTTGCAGCCACTTGAAAGTCATTCTCTGATGTTACCCCTATCTCGGAATGTACCCATCGTGTTACTGGCAAATCCTAATAACGTGCCAACTACTGCTATTCTAGTACTGCACGGTACTGTCTGGGCCGGAATGTTGATGAAAGCGATAAACCTAGAGGTCATTCACATCCCGCCACATTGCGAGGAGCGAATCCGATAGATAGAAAATGGTATCATCTATTATTTTTTGTTGCATTATAATGGAAACGTATTGACAGTTCCTCAGATAAGCTCCTCAAAAGGCGGCAACTACGTTGATTAAATTTTAATAAGCTCGGGTGAATGACCACACCGATTAGGAATAGAAGGCGGGACGTGATCGTGACGTAATGCAATACCGCCATGCTGCGCTGCGGGCACCCACAGCCAGTGCTAATAACTGGCTTTATAAGGACCTTAGACACGAGACTTCGTTGCACGGTTCTGCATGTTTCTCATTTCCAAAGAAGCCATATTTAGATGAGCAAATTATATTCTTAGAATTTGAACACACTACATAGTTAATTGAAGGTTGTAAGTGTAATTCCATTGGTTACCATTCCTTCTGAGAAAAGCACCATTCAATTAAAATAATTTTAAACAGACACACAAACTGATGTTCTTCTATAACAATGAGCATAATTATGATGTACTTAGCCAGTAGGTACTTATACACGTGATGATAACAGGACAGTTCAGTCGAGATTGTCTAGATTCTTGATTGATAATGTTAATTAACAGCAATCATTGTTTCTTATCTTGCATACCTGTACTGACTTTGTATAACAAATCAACTTTACCAATAAAA